AGGGCCAGTTTCTGATTCTGGGGACAAAGAAGGAGGACTTCCTGGAGGGCCAGTTTGCTCCTTCCGGGGACAAAGAAGGAGGACTTCCTGGAGGGCCAGTTTGCTTATCCCGGGGACAAAGAAGGAGGAGCTTATCCCGGACAAAGAAGGAGAACTTCCTGGAGGGCCAGTTTGCTTATCCGGGGCGCTTATCCCGAGGACAAAGAAGGAGGAATTGCTGGAAGGACAGAAGGAGGACTACTTGGAGGTCTTTGGCTGCAGTCAATTAAGCCAGCCAACCCGAAGTGAAAATGTTTGTCTTAAGGACCAAGAAGAAAAGCCTCCCGGCGGGCCATTTCGTGTGTCGGGGCAAAGGAGGAGGACTTCCTGGAGGGCTCGTTCAAGACCTGGACTTTGTGAAGGGCTGGTTCCAGTCGAGGACATGGAAGACAAATAGATTGATGTGTGCAACTTCGGCTGCTGATCTCAGCAAGACATTGTATTTTCGTGTTAAATCAGAACAGAGCATTGAACCCTTTGTCTGTGCACGGACGATGGCCTGGAGCAGCAGTCTATCACGGGGCGAAGAAGGAGGACTTCCTGCTGGAGGGCTCGTTCAAATCCTGGACTTTGTGACGGGCTAGTTCGAATCGACGACATTCAAGACAAATAGAACGCTGGGGCAAAGCACCTTCGGCTGCAGACAAGCCTGGGTGCCCCAATCCTGAACTGACTCAAGCTTTTGGAGTGACCCAACGCTGGGGTGACTCAGTTCTGGTGTACCCAGCTCTGAGGTGACCCAGTCCGTTGGGGTGATCCATGCTTGAGGTGATTCGGGTACGGGGTGACCTGGTCTCAGGAAGGCTTTGCTTTTTCTTTTAAGCAACAACAACATTACATTGAATCCTTCCTCTGTGCATGGACGATGGCCTGGAGATGCTTGGAGCACCAGTCTATCACGGGACGAAGAAGGAGGACTTCCTGAAGGGCTCGCTCAAGACCTGGACTTTGTGAAGGGCTGGTTTGAGTCGAGGACATTGAAGACAAATAGAACGCTTGGGCAAAGCGCCTTCGGCTGCAAACAAGCCTGGGCAGCCCATTCCTGAAGTGACTCAAGCTTTTGGAGTGACCCAACGCTGGGGTGACTCAGTTCTGGCGCACACCCAGCTCTGAGGTGACCCAGTCGTTGGGGTGATCCATTCTTGAGGTGATTCGGGCGTGGGGTGACCTGGTCTTCCTGGAGGGCCAGTTTGCTTGTCCGGGGACAAAAAAGGAAGACTTCCTGGAGGGCCAGTTTGCTTATCCCGGGGACAAAGAAGGAGGACTTCCTGGAAGGCCAGTTTCTTATTCTGGGGACAAAGAAGGAGGACTTCCTGGAGCCAGTTTGCTTCTCCTGGGGACAAAGAAGGAGGACTTCCTGGAGGGCCAGTTTGCTTCTGCCGGGGACAAAGAAGGAGGACTTCCTGGAGGGCCAGTTTGCTTATCGCGGGAACAAAGAAGGAGGACTTCCTGGAGGGCCAGTTTGCTTATCGCGGGAACAAAGAAGGAGGACTTCCTGGGGGGCCAGTTTGCTTATCCCGGGACAAAGAAGGAGGTTTTTCTGGAGCGGAGGGCCAGTTTGCTTATCCTGGGACAAAGAAGCAGGACTTCCTGGAAGGCCAGCTTCTTATTCTGGGGACAAAGAGGGAGGACTTCCTGGAGGGCCAGTTTGCTTCTCCTGGGGACAAAGAAGGAGGACTTCCTGGAGGGCCAGTTTGCTTCTCCCGGGGACAAAGAAGGAGGACTTCCTGGAGGTCCAGTTTGCTTGTCCCGGGACTTCCTGCAGGGCAGTTTGCTTATCCCAGGGACAAAGAAGGAGGACTTCCTGAAGGGTCAATTTGCTTATCCGGGGGCAAAGAAGGAGGACTTCCTGGAGGGCCAGTTTGCTTGTCCGGGGCCAAAAAGGGAGGACTTCCTGGAGGGCCGTCCTGGGGACAAAGAAGGAGGACTTCCTGGAAGGCCAGCTTCTTATTCTGGGGACAAAGAAGGAGGACTTCCTGGAGGGCCAGTTTGCTTATCCCGGGAACAAAGAAGGAGGACTTGCTGGAGGGCCAGATTGCTTGTCCCGGGACTTCCTGGAGGGCCAGTTTGCTTATCCCGGGGACAAAGAAGGAGGACTTCTTCGGAGGGCCAGTTTGCTATCCCGGGAACAAAGAAGGAGGACTTCCTGGAGGGCCAGTTTGCCTATCCCGGGGACAAAGAAGGAGGACTTCCTGGAGGGCCAGTTTGCTTATCCCGGGGACAAAGAAGGAGGACTTCCTGGAGGGCCAGTTTTCTTATTCTGGGGACAAAGAAGGAGGACTTCCTGGAGGGCCAGTTTGCTTCTCCTGGGGACAAAGAAGGAGGACTTCCTGGAGGGCCAGTTTGCTTCTCCCGGGGACAAAGAAGGAGGACTTCCTGGAGGGCCAGTTTGCTTATCGCGGGAACAAAGAAGGAGGACTTCCTGGAGGGCCAGTTTGCTTATCCCGGGACAAAGAAGGAGGACTTCCTGGCAGGCCACTTTCTTATTCTGGGGACAAAGAAGGAGGACTTTCTGGAGGGCCAGTTTGCTCACAAAGAAGGAGGACTTCCTGGAGGGCCAGTTTGCTTGTCCGGGGACAAAAAGGAGGACTTCCTGGAGGGCCAGTTTGCTTATCCCGGGGACAAAGAAGGAGGACTTCCTGGAAGGCCAGTTTCTTATTCTGGGGACAAAGAAGGAGGACTTCCTGGAGCAGTTTGCTTCTCCTGGGGACAAAGAAGGAGGACTTCCTGGAGGGCCAGTTTCTGATTCTGGGGACAAAGAAGGAGGACTTCCTGGAGGGCCAGTTTGCTCCTTCCGGGGACAAAGAAGGAGGACTTCCTGGAGGGCCAGTTTGCTTATCCCGGGGACAAAGAAGGAGGAGCTTATCCCGGACAAAGAAGGAGAACTTCCTGGAGGGCCAGTTTGCTTATCCAGGGCGCTTATCCCGAGGACAAAGAAGGAGGAATTGCTGGAAGGACAGAAGGAGGACTACTTGGAGGTCTTTGGCTGCAGTCAATTAAGCCAGCCAACCCGAAGTGAAAATGTTTGTCTTAAGGACCAAGAAGAAAAGCCTCCCGGCGGGCCATTTCGTGTGTCGGGGCAAAGGAGGAGGACTTCCTGGAGGGCTCGTTCAAGACCTGGACTTTGTGAAGGGCTGGTTCCAGTCGAGGACATGGAAGACAAATAGATTGATGTGTGCAACTTCGGCTGCTGATCTCAGCAAGACATTGTATTTTCGTTTTAAATCAGAACAGAGCATTGAACCCTTTGTCTGTGCACGGACGATGGCCTGAAGCACCAGTCTATCACGGGGCGAAGAAGGAGGACTTCCTGCTGGAGGGCTCGTTCAAATCCTGGACTTTGTGACGGGCTAGTTCGAATCGACGACATTCAAGACAAATAGAACGCTGGGGCAAAGAACCTTCGGCTGCAGACAAGCCTGGGTGCCCCAATCCTGAACTGACTCAAGCTTTTGGAGTGACCCAACGCTGGGGTGACTCAGTTCCGGTGTACCCAGCTCTGAGGTGACCCAGTCCGTTGGGGTGATCCATGCTTGAGGTGATTCGGGTACGGGGTGACCTGGTCTCAGGAAGGCTTTGCTTTTTCTTTTAAGCAACAACAACATTACATTGAATCCTTCCTCTGTCCATGGACGATGGCCTGGAGATGCTTGGAGCACCAGTCTATCACGGGACGAAGAAGGAGGACTTCCTGAAGGGCTCGCTCAAGACCTGGACTTTGTGAAGGGCTGGTTTGAGTCGAGGACATTGAAGACAAATAGAACGCTTGGGCAAAGCGCCTTCGGCTGCAAACAAGCCTGGGCAGCCCATTCCTGAAGTGACTCAAGCTTTTGGAGTGACCCAACGCTGGGGTGACTCAGTTCTGGCGCACACCCAGCTCTGAGGTGACCCAGTCGTTGGGGTGATCCATTCTTGAGGTGATTCGGGCGTGGGGTGACCTGGTCTCAGCAAGGCTTTGCTTCTTCTTTTAAGCACCAACATTACATTGAATCCTTTGTCTGTGCACGGACGATGGCCTGGAGCACCAGTCTATAACGGGACGAAGAAGGAGGACTTCCTGGAGGGCTCGTTCAAGACCTGGACTTTGCGAAGGGCTGGTTCGAATCGAGGACATTGAAGACAAATAGAACGCGGCAAAGCGCCTTCCTGCAGACAGGCCTGGTTGACCCATTCCTGAAGTGACTCAAGCTTTTGGAGTGACCCAGTGCTGGGGTGACTCAGTTCTGGAATCCCAGCTCTGAGGTGACCCAGTCGTTGGGGTGATCCATTCTTGAGGTGATTCGGGTGTGGGGTGACCTGGTCTCGACAAGGCTGTGCGTTTCTCGTTTTTCTTTTAAGCAACAACATTATGTTAAATCCTTTGTCTGTACACGGACGATGGCCTGGAGCACCAGTTTATTCCGGGGCGAAGAAGGAGGACTTTTTGAAGGGCTCGTTCAAGACCTGGACTTTGCGCAGGGCTGGTTCGAGTCGAGGACATTGAAGACAAATAGATTGATGGGCGCAACTTCGGCTGCTGGTCTTAGCAAGGCGTTGCTTGTCGTTTGTCTTTTGAATGTCAACATTGCATTGAATCCTTTGTCTGTACGGACGATGGCCTGGAGCACCAGTCTATCACGGGGCGAAGAAGGAGGACTTCCTGGAGGGCTCGTTCGAGACCTGGACTTCGCGAAGGGCTGGTTCGAGTGTCCAGGACTTCGAAGACAAATAGATTGATGGACGCAACTTCGGCTGCTGGTCTTAGCAAGGCTTTGCTTCCTGAGATGTGCGAGTGATTTCACGGTCACAGGACACAAGCTTCAGCCACTCGTGACATTTCTCAAGAAGAGTTCACGGTAAACACAGGACATCTGGACCTACACGCACGCATACACAGGGCAATTTTGCACTCACACTTGAAGCAGTGCGCCCCATGCGCTTTCACATTTTGCATAGCCGGCGTTCTTTCGTTCCTAGCGGGCATGGCAGCGCCTCGTCCCGCGACTGCTGCGGAAGCCTTTGGAATCACCGTGCGAGCTCTCAAAATTAAGCCACGCTGGCTGCAGCAGATCCTTGAAGGTACCAAGCGCATCGAAATCAGGAAGAAGCCTTGCCCTCACAAAGGCTGGATCTCTTTGGCCGCCACTGGCGTCCTGGAAATCCAAGGACGTGCGTTGATCTCTGGTTCACACCGGCTTTCTGCCGCTGAGCGAGAAGAATACGCTGGCACCTTGGAGGACTGGGTTGAGCTGCAAGCACACGTGCACTGAACAACATGCCACTTGCCTAGCAACTGTGCTGTGCCCCGACAGGCCTTGGCTTACGAAGACCCATGGGCTTGGGAAATTGAAGAGGTGGAGCTGCTGCCATCGCCGATCGCAATCCCCAGCTGGGTGGCGCGAGGCAGTGTGCAATGGCTGACTCGAGAGCGCTGGCAGCGTTGGGATGATGCACTTCTTCGCAGCGCAAACAGCAGTGAGATGCGTGTGCGACCCAAAGAAGTCCCATGCAAGAGGAAGCGGGCACGCAAGACTGCAAAGCCAAAGCCACGACCGCCCAAGACCTGCTGAGCAGCTGATTTTGAGCAAAAAAGCGCAGTTTGCAAAGCCTTGTGATGTCTGCAGTTGCGCTGGAAGTGCGCAGTGCCTCATGTCGACCTCTGAAATGTTTTGATTGGTTTGACCCAGTGTTTAGGCGATTCAGACGACACACCTGCTTCTCAAGCTCAAATATTTAGCAGCAACTGCTCACAATTCGCAAGTCGTCCCTGCCGAGTCGAGGCCTTATCTGCAGAGACATGGACGCTGCGGCGAAGCCCTTGCTTGTTTGCACGTCAGGCAATCATGCCGTCCACTTGCCGCTGGGCTGACATGGTCGACGATGACAGCGAGGTGCGTTCCCAAGCAAAAGGGCCTCTATAGGGCAGCGCGCAGAGCAAACGCGCTCATGCATTTGGCAGGTCAGCGTGTGGGATTGGGACGTGTTCAAGCGCGACTATCTCGCCACACGTTGTCGCTTGACACTGCTCACGCCAGTCATCCCCTCGGCTAAGCCCATCATCTTGTCGTCCAGCGCAAAAGAACGTCCAGCGAGTTGCGCGTGCGCAAGGCAGGCACCATCATCATCGACGAGGCGGTGATCGACCAGCATTGTCTTGCCTTGTCCAGTCCAGAGAGGTTTGCTTTTTCTTCACTTCTCAGGACTGGAAGAAGCAGCGGCGTGAAGTTGCCGCAAAAGCTGCAGAGGCCACCGGGCCTGCGAAGCCGCGAGCTGCGCAACGCAGGAAGGTGCTCTCCCTGAGAGTCTGCAGCGGTGTCCTGTGAGTTTCTGCACGCGTCCTGCGCTGGGTCAAGTGAAAGATCCAAGGCAGTAACGGCGGGGCAGCAGCCACGCCCGGCGCCAGACAATGAAGAAGACCAGGTGCTAGAAGCTGCGCTACGACAGGCACAGGCGCGAAGAACACTTCAGCACCTTGGTTTGAATCACCAACGTACTCTCGCGCAAGTTAACCCTGTGTCTGCAAAATCGTGTAGGAGGAAAGAGCGGCGCTTGCAGCAGCGGGCGCGACCAGTAACGCAACGGCTCGGCCGAAGCGTCGGAGGTCGCATGACAGACGTGCCCCACACTTGTGTCTACAGAGTCGAGAGTTGAGCGGCGAAGAGGATGCACATCCGAGCTGTTCGCACGACGATTGTCTCCGACGATGAAGTCCGTTCCTCAAGCCATGCGCATGCGCTTTCCACTTACACGCGCTCCCGATCAGTCCGACCCTCTGCGTATCGAGGAAGCCTGCAACGTGACCCGCCGATTGCTCTGCGAGGGCCTTACAGCATACAGTCACAAGCACAAGCTCACACATGGCTGCAACGTGTTCCAACAAGCGAGCGCCTGCCTGCCTCTCTGCAGTTCCGAGCCCTGGCACAGCCGCGCGCCCGGACTTGGTGCACGTGCTCTCCTGCGACAGTGCCCGGCTCAGATTTTGTCCGACCTGATCGGTCTCAGTATCGGCAGCACGCGTGTCTTCTCATACGCGACACTGAGGCCCCACTTGCTACGCAACCTCAACGATGGGCCGCAGGCAGAGGGTCAAGTTGCAGCTGGCCCGCGCCCCAGCCTGTAGTATAGCATTCCAGGTCAGGTCGCCCAGCGTGTCTATTTACACCAAATGCGAGAGTGCGTGGCCTAAGGCGCTCTGCGGCTTGCCCTGCGCCTTCTGGAGCGTGGACAAGAAGCAAAGGAACAAGCTGCAACACGCCGACAGCTCGGAGTGCAACAAGGGCAAGCGGACCAGCACGCATCAGGGTTGTTTAAAGCGCCATATATATATATATATATATGTGTCACAACAACCCTCGATCGACTTTACTGAGGCTCTCTACGGCAACACAGCAGCCAGCTCCAGCTCCCGCGCGCCGCCCAGGACCCCTGGCGCCGCGCCGCCCGACTTTCGCATCGTGAAAATGAAAGGAGACGGCAACTGCCTGTTCCACGCGCTGTCCCTGCACGAGGGCGGGGACGCCGCAGCTTTGCGGGAGGAGCTGGCAGAATTCCTGGAAGAGCGTTCTGCCGAACAAGACGAAGAAGAGGAAATCTGGTTGGAGGAAGCGGCAATTCTCCGCGGCGATCCGGCGCACTGCTGGGGCGGAGACACCTCAGTGCTGGCGTGGTCCTTGCTCCGGCAGCGCCGCGTGAACGTGCACTGGCAAGACGAAGATGGAAAGTTCCACTCCAGTTGCCGCACGCACTGGCGGGTCGCGGAAGACCTCGAAGCAGAAGATTTCTCGGCGGTGCATCTGCTCTACAACGGGGTGGACCACTACGACCTGCTGACGGCGACGCCCTCCAATCAAATGCCCTCGCAGAGCCCCCAAGAGCGCCTAACGGAGGAGTCCGGCGGCGCACACTCCTCGGCCTTGGGAGGCCAACCTGCTTCCAAGTCACAGCCAAAGCCAGTGCCAGAGAAAGGTGCAAACGAGGAGCAAGGTGGAGTGCTGGAAGAACTGAGCCTGTGCCAGATCGCTGCAGAATCTTCGCACCCGCACAGACCGCTCGAGGACGGCTTGCGCAAGCTGGCCGGCGAGCTGCGGGATTTCCCGACGCTTCCGCCTGGAGCATCTGTGCACTCACTGGATGCGGGCGAAGCATGGCCGCACGTTTTCTGCGCCTTCCAAGAGTGCACATGGAGCTGCGAGCGCGGGGGAGAACGGGAGTTGACGCAGCATCTCCGCCATTCTCACCTGTCCCAGCTGGAGCCGCTGCTGAAGTTGCTGCCCGACCCAAATGCCAAGGACGCCTTCCTGAGCATTTACAACCAGGCCGTGGCCATCAGGTGCCGCGCTCAAGCGCCTTTGGCCGGCTGCTCCCTGGATCGCAAGGCCTTGCAATCGTTCTCGGCAGCGACAGCTCGCGACGGGGTGGAGGCGCTGGTCTGTTTCTGCTGCGCCTGCATCCACACCCGCGTCGCCGAGACAGAAGAGAAGGGGAACATCAGATGGCGCCGCCCGCTGCAGCAAGACGCGGCGCGGCCAGAAGCGCCGCCAACCTTCCTTGGCCGGCAGCTGCCCGAAGTGCTGGACATTCTGGGGCTCGACTCCTTCCTCGAGAAGTACGACCGCCTGGAGGGCGACCTCAAGCTGACCACCTTCGAGGACTTCACCCGCTGGCGGGTCCAACTCCCAGACGGCGCCTTCCTGCTCTGCTGCCCGGAAGATCACCGCTGCTCCAGGCACCCGGAGCACGCGACGGAAGGCTGCTTGTGCGAGCACTGCGAAGTGCCGATCTGCAGCGAATGCCACGAGAACTTGGCGGCGGGCCGGCTTCCGCCTCTCAGCCTGGCCAACGACATGTGGACCGGGTACGCCCCGGAGCGCCTCTACACCGACAAGGTCACGGTCATGGAGATGATTTGCGCCAGCCCCTGCATAACCACGCTCGTGCGCATGTCCATGGAGGCGCGGTACCGCAGCGAGAGCTCGCCGCTGGACGAGCACGCCCACATGGCCAGGCACCGCCTCGGCGCGCGGGGCAACGCGTTGACCTTCCCTCTGCCGTGGGAAGACCTCTTGCGGAACCTGCAGGCGCACCACGGCGTGCTGGAAAGCGAAGCAGGCGGGGAGGCGCCCGCCCAGCTGCCGCGCAGCGGACCTGAGCTGGGAAACGTGGTGCGCGTGGTGCTGAAGACCAACAAGACTGCCAAGACCTCGGACGCCGAGATCAAGAGCTTGATCCACCAGGCGAACGTGCGCAGAGAGGTGGTCGTGCAGCTGATCCTCGACATGAAGAAACTGGGGCACCCGGCCTACCAGGGCGCGGACGAGGTGGCCGTTCGACAGGCGGCCCTATCTCTGCCTGAAGACGGAGTTCCTCCGGAAGTGCTGAAGGTCATCGCGGAGATCGACGACAAGGCGGAGGACCGCTTGCAGCCGCAAAAGGCGGCCACGCCGTCCGATGCCTTTCTGCAGCTGGAAGAGGCCGGCGCGATCTTTGCCGCCCAACGAGCCCGCGCCGTGGTGCCGGAAGGCTGGAGCGTGGATCGCCAGGATCAGAATGCAGCGGGAGTGCTGGCCCTGAACGAGCTGGCCGAGCAGTTACGGGAAGCGGAGGACCCGGGCCTCCATCAATCGCCGGAAACTCGGGAAGAAGCAGCCCCCAGGGACAAGGTGGCGCAAACTTTCGAGGTGCGGACGGGCAACAAGTTCATTGACCAATTCCAACCGATGTACTTTGCCACGGCTTTCTGCTTCTGCTTCAAGCACGCCACTGCCTGCCCCGACATTCAGAAGACCAACGCGGCTCAGGAGAGAGGTAAGTGACTCTTACGGTAAGTGCAAATGCCAAAGAGCACAGCGGCATAGAGAACATTAAAATGTATTACTTTTTTCTTATAACAATTCGGATCCATTGCCTCTGCAGGACAGCAATGCGGCGGGCGCGGCGACCCGACGCCGGTCCCGCGACGCCAAGGCGCCGGAGGTCTTCATCTACGACTGGGCTGCGGCCATGCTTCGCCGCGTGGAAACCCAATTCCGCCGGGACTGGACCTTTGGCTTCACGGTTTGGAACTACATCTTCCGGACCATGATCAACCTTCAGAAGAACACCTACATGTACACCATCCCGGACGAGCGCGGCGGCCGCCGACCGCTCACCAACGAGGACATCCTCAAGGGCGTGTGCGAGATCCAGCAGAAGTTGTGTCGCGGCAAGTACAAGGACGTCACCGGTGAGATGAAAGCCATCAAAGGCGATCTGTCAAAGGTGCGCTACGCGCCCAATCTGTCCGAGGCCGCCAAGAAGGTCTTGGACAACTGTGAAGCCAGAACTCGCCGGATCCCAGGAACGCACGAAGTGCGGCAGACCATGCGCCACCAAACGCACGCCTACAGGGTTTGCTATGGCACCTCCCTCTTCTTGACCTTCTCGCCGTCCGAGCGGGACACCACGCTCATGCTGCGCCTGGCCCGCGCGCGCAGGAGCGACCCAGCCATCGCCCAGGAAGGGTCCAAGAAGTTCCAAGCCAGGGACGAGCCAGATCTGGAGGTGGAGTTCTGTCGCCTCGACCCGGAAGCCCTTGCGGCCGAGCTCCCGCCCTATGACGAGCGCAGAGCCATGCTGGCCAGAGACCCGCTGGCCTGCCTCGAAGGCTTCAAGACGCTTGTGCAGCTGGCGCTCCGGCACCTCCTGGGCGTGCGCTTCTGCCCATGCTGCCCCGACTGCGTCACCTCCGACACGCCCTGCGTGGATGCTTTCGGCAGCAGCGCCATGGCCTGCGGCGGCATCTTCGGCCGCGTGGATGCCGTCTTCGGCTCTCTGGAAACGCAAAAGAATGGAGCGTTCCACGGGCACTTCCAGGCCGGCGGCAGAGTCGAGAGTTTAAACAAAAAGCAATGAATCACAACTGTGCGCAACACTTTTACAGGAACCCGCCTTATTCAAAGTAAATATTTTGAAAGGGCCGAGCTGCCGATCCAAATTCTTTTCTCCCGACCCCTGCAGGTCTTCGTGCAGAACTTTCACCAGTTCACACCGCTGGCCGACATGCTGAAGCTGAGCACCGGGGACAAGCGTGCTCTACTGCAGAAGTACATGGCCTACGCGGGGCACGTGAGGCGCTCCGTCTACAGCGACCCCGCGGCCTGGAAGCAGAAGCGGCATTCCATCGAAGCCGAGTGGCCCGAGTACCGCAAGTCCACGTTGGTGCTGAGCCGCCCGTCGTATCAGAAGGACGCAGCGCTGGAAGGAGAGCAGTGGCGAAGAGCGTTCCTGGAAGAAGACGTAGAAGCCTTGCAGCAGCACAAGCAGCACCACGTCCACCTGCCAAAGGCGCTCCAGCAGAAGCAAGCGGCGTACACCGCACAGGCCCTGCGGGCCAAGGCCACCTCCGTCGAGGCCGAATGGCTGGAGCGAAAAGCAGAAGAGCGGGAAACAGCCTTCCTCGCGACAGACGCGGAGCGTCTTCCTCTGGCCCACTGCAGAGATCCCCGCGATCCGACCAAATGCAAGGCAGGCTTTCCGAAGCCGCAGGAGCAAATGACCGACGCCGCCGTGCTGGTCTGCGAGGGCTTGGCAAAACACATGGGCTTGCCGGTCAAGGGCAAAAGAAGCGCGCTGGGCGCTCTCTGGGGCCCCGTCAACGACCCCAACCTTAACGGCACCCACCCTGCGTTGCTGGCAGCGCTCAGGTGCAACTCCGACGTCCAAGTGCCCTACCGCTTCCCGATCCTGGCGGAGCTGCACGAAGACGATCTCTGCCAGGAAGATTGCGCGGCCGGCGCCGACCCCCGTCAGGTCGTCAAGCAAGCCCAGCAGAACCAGGCGGCGCAGGCGGGCTACGGCTGCGACTACATGAACAAGAGACTGGCCATCGCCGTGCAGGAAACGAAAGAGTGGCAGAAAGCTCAGACCGAGCTGGCCAAGGAGCTGGAAGGCAAGCCCACCGGCTACGCTATGGGCAGGCACAGCAAGCGCCTCGCCACCGATTGCTGCGCGCGGGGCGTCTGCCGGGCCTCTGTGGAATGCGTCAACCTCGTGGACCACGCACGCAGCACTGATTGCACACGCGCTGAGTCCATCAAGACAGCGCAAGTCACGGACATCGCCTTAGCTTACGGGCTTCGCCTGTTGGATGCAGCTGTTGCTCGGGAGCCCCTACCCACGGAGCCCCGCCGAATTCAGACAGACTCCAGGCACACAGGCTTTTATGGCAAGAAGAAGTGCGCCGAGTGCCCGCCGTGGACGTTGTACGGAGAGCGCGGCCGTGATCCGCGAGTGCACGAGCTGTGTGCCTTCGAATTTGCGCGCCACTATCACTACAAGCTTGCGTCGCAACCTTTTTCTGTGGCGCGGGAGGTGCAGGAGCCGGAGAAATACCACGTCTTCCTTACCCAGGCCGGCAAAGCCAAGCTGAGGATTGGAGTGGCCATAACCAAGCTGCTTGCAGGGCTCGACTACCAGATCAAGGAGCGAGGTGGAGTGGATTGGCTGCCGCTCGGTCATGGCGAGAGAGCCCAGCCATATCGACACGACTGGATCGTGGAGCTCCGCAAGCGCCCCCATGTGCCCGTGATCTACGGTGCCCAGGGCTGCCGGACGGAGGAGGAGCAAGCTCAGAAAGTCATGCTGCTCTTCTGCCCCTGGACCACCAACGCTGCCGATGCCACGGACGCGGTGCCCTTCATCAGCGACCTCCGCGGCGGCGCTGACAGCTGGCGGGACGCCTTGAAGCTTTGGTTCGCGAGGCGCGGCTTTGCCACTGAGACCCTCAGGCACTACATCTTGAATTTCTGCTTCGTCTACTGCCTGCCTCGGGAGCTGCAGTCCAACGGCGAACTGGCGGCCAACAGCGACAACGAAGGCATCGAGGACCCGGTCAGCCGTAATTCCTTTGTGTCCTTTATGTTCGTGTCGATTAATGAGCCACTTCTATAACTCTGCACTCACAAGATGTTGTCGCTCTGTGCTGTGCCCGCAGGACGCCCCGGCAATCTTCGACAGCGCCGACCTGGAAGCAGCCATGGCCACGCATGTGCGGGGCAGTGGCCGTGCAGAGGCAGACGACCCAGCTGATGCTGCAGCCGCGAGCAGCAGCACGGACCCCACCCTGCAGCACACCATGACCAAGCAGATCTTCGATCTATCTTCATCCATTTGGCTTCCGTCCTCTGGCATCGAGGAAGACCAGGCCGCGGCGGAGAAGCGCAAGGGCTTGGAATCCTGCAAGGGCGTGGAGTGCCCGGAGCGCCTCTTGAAGGCGGCGCAGGCCTCGCGCTGTCAAGCAGCCACGGCAAGCGCCTTGCAGTCCCGCGCCGCGTTGGGCAGTGTGGAAAAGCCACCACACGTGCTGCAGCGACCGGCAGTCAGCTCCGAGCAGATGCTGAACTGGCTGCACAGCGATCGAGTTCGAAGCCGCATCAACGCCAAGCAGCACGAGCTCCTCTGCCTGCTCGTTGACCGAGTGCTCGTCGAGCACGGCTTGCTCCACCCACAGGACAGCATCCTGGAACGCGACAAGCCCTTGGTGTGGCTCCTGCACGGCGGGCCTGGCACCGGCAAGACCTGGGTCCTCGAGTCCGTGCACGAGCTCTTCGGCATGCTCGGGTACGCTCAGGGCGTCGAGTACGAAGTGACTGCCTTTCAAGCCGCGAATGCTGCGGACTTGGCCGGCAAGACCTTGCACAGCGCCTCCGGGCTCAGCGTCGGCGCCTTCACGGATCAAGCGGCCAGCCGCGACACGGCGAAGCGCCTGTCCTACTGGCGCTGGTTGATCATCGACGAGATCAGCATGGTGAACGCCAGGCTTTTGGCACAGGTGGAGCAGAGGATGCGCGCGGTCATGCCTTCGGCCAATGCCTGGAAGCTGGACGAGCACGGAGACGTGCGAGCCTTTGCCGGCGTCAACACGGTTCTGATGGGCGACTTTCACCAGCTCAAACCACCGGAAGGTGGCTTCCTGGGCGACGTGCCTGCAAGCCTGAAACTTCCGGCCGGCGCGCAAGAAGCCGCGAACCAAGATCTCCTGGCGGAGTACGGCCGGCAGCTGCTCTGGGGCGGGTCGACGCAAGGCGTCACCGAGCTGATCGAGCGGCAGCGCTGCCAGGACGAGTGGTGGAACGAAGTGGTGGACGAGTTTCGCAACGTCAGCCTGTCCGAAAACAACCACAAGTACCTTCACGGCATGCCAGTGGAAGGCTGCACGCTCAGCCAGGCAGAGCGGGACTCGAGGCGTCGGGTTATTATGTCCGAGAACGACCCCCGCCTGAAGGAGCAGAAGTTCGTGGAAGCCTTCGTCGTGGTCGCCAACAACGATGCCCGGTACCAGATCAACAAAGACCGGGCGCGCGCATATGCGCAGGCCGCGGGCACGCCTCTCCGCTACTCGGTAGCGCTGGATCTGGCGAGCAACGAGGCACTGCAGGCGGAGAACTGCGACAAAAGTGCCAAGATCCGATGGCTGCAGTACCACGACCGGGACACCGCGGACCTCTGCGGCATGCTGCCCCTGGCCATCGGCATGCCGGTGGCGCTGACGCAGCACCTCGACCGCTCCCAAGACAAGCTGCTGCTGAAGGGTCGCGTGGGCCGCGTGCACTCCTGGATCTGGCATGACAACGACCGGCAGCCCAAGGTCGTGAATCTGGGCAGGGGCAGCAAATTTTCACTTCTGTAATAAATGCATTTACAGTAACATTATTCAAGTATGCCTTTGCGTTGCATTCCTTTGTGTCGTGCGTCGCAGAATTCATCACGCGGCACCTATAATTTTAAACACATATAGTTGTTGAATCGCCTTTTGCTGCCCATCGAGTCATCGAGGTACGTCAAGTTCGACGATGCCAAGTGGAAGCTGGACGGCGCGTCGGAGCCGGGACTGTATCCCGTGGAGCTGAAGAAGCGCGCGTGGCACCTGGACGCGAAGAGGAAGAAGTCCGTGCTGAAGATCGTCAGGCAGCAGATTCCCTTAGTGCCGGCCTTCGCCATCACGGCGCACACCAGCCAGGGCAAGACGCTGCTGGCCGCGATCCTGGACCTCGCCATCGACAAGCGGACGGACCCCACCCTGGGCACGGTGGCAGTGAGCCGCGTGCGCAGCCGGCACGACGTCCTCATCATGCGGCCCTTCCCGCTCTGGCTCTTTCAACGCGGCGCCCCAGAAGGACCGAAGCTCTTGTTGCAGAGCCTGCGTGGTGAACAAATCGACTGGCAGACCTATCGGGAAGCCCGTCGACCTTCGGCGACCTGCCCGACATGCAGGCACGTCAAAGTCGTGGAGTCTTTCTCCAGCGCACAGTGGGAGAAGGTCCGCGCCAACCTGCCGGCCACCTGCCTGGCTTGCATCAACGCAGAGAACCCCAAGGCCCCGAGGAAGCGTAAGTACTCGAGCGGCCCTGCCAATTTGGAGTGCAGCGTCTGCAAAGTTGCCAAGATAGAGCCTTCCCACGTGCCCAGCTGAAGCAGAAGGATGCTCCGGCCAAGCGGCGCTGCCTTCAGTGCGTGAAAGCTGCAGCCACCCTGACCTGCGCCAGATGTGGCAGCAACAAGCCTGTAGATGAAGGCCAATTTGGCCTCCTGAAGCCCATTTGGGCCTTCTGAAGTCAATTGGCACTTCTGAAAGCCAATTTTAGCCTTCTAAAGCCAATTTTGGGCCATTTCATTTTAGCCTTCTGAAGTCAATTTTAGGCTTTCTGAAATCAATTTGGGCCTCCGGAAGCCAATCTTGGGCCTTCTGAAGCCAATTTGTGCCTCTGACGCAGATTTTGGGGCCTTCTGATTAATTTGGGCCTCCAATTTGGGTCTCTGAAGCCAATTTGGGCTTCTATTGGGCCTCTTAAGCCAATTTCGGGCCGCTGAAGCCAATTTTGGCCTTCTAAAGCCAAATGCGGACCGAAGCCAATTTGAGTTTCTGAAACCAATTTTGGCCTTTTGAAGCCGTTTCGGGCCTTCTGAAGCCAATTGGGGCCTCTGAAGCCAATTTTGGCCTTCTGCAGCCAAGCGCGGACCTTTGAGACCAATTTAGGCCTTCGCCAATTTTGGACCTGCTGTCTTCTGAAGCCAATTTGACGCCTTCCATGGACCCTTAGAGAATTGTTTTCAATCTTCGGCAAATTGCATCCGTAAAAAGTTTATTAGAGCATAGGGCAGCCACCTATAGAATAGTTGACTTGGGCGCCACGCTGCGCTGGCGAACCCTAAACCCTAAACCCTAAACCCTAAACCCTAAACCCTAAACCCTAAACCCTAAACCCTAAACCCTAAACCCTAAACCCTAAACCCTAAACCCTAAACCCTAAACCCTAAACCCTAAACCCTAAACCCTAAACCCTAAACCCTAAACCCTAAACCCTAAACCCTAAACTCAGGCGTGGCTGGTGGGGGAGCTTCGCTCCTTTCCCACCAGCCGAGCCGCCCAAAGCAAGTGGCTGCATGGGCATCGCACATACAATATGCCTATACAGCAGTTCAACTGTCTTACCAGAGAGCGTGCCGTGCCACCGCTAGGCAGTGGAGCGGTGTCAGTACTGACAATATATTATATATATACCCCAAAACCTGCCCGAAATCACGGTTAAACTATAAAGATTTCTATAGTTTTGCGTCTAAACTATAAACGTTTATAGTTTAGGCTCTATAGTTTTGGCTCTAAACTATAGACGTTTATAGTTTAGCGTCTATAGTTTAGGGCTTTATAGTTTAGGCTTTATAGTTTAGCGGCTAAACTATAAACGTCTATAGTTTAGGAGTCAGGCTTTATAGTTTAGCGCCGAAACTATAGACGTTTATAGTTTAGGCTCTAGAGTTTGGGGCTCTATAGTTTAGGGCAAAATCCAGAAATTGGAGGCAGCATTTCCGGCATCGATTTCTGTACTAAAAAATCGCATTTTGAAGCTCGGTCCAGGCCAATCCTGGGGGACCCCCCACGGATGGTCCTAAACTATAAACGCTTCTATAGTTTAGGAGCCAACCTTTATAGTTTAGCGGCTAAACTATAAACGTTTATAGTTTAGGGGTCAAGCTTTATAGTTTAGCGCCGAAACTATAAACGTTTATAGTTTAGGCTCTAGAGTTTGGGGCTCTATAGTTTAGGGCAAAATCCAGAAATTGGAGGCAGCATTTCCGGCATCGATTTCTGTACTAAAAAATCGCATTTTGAAGCTCGGTCCAGGCCAATCCTGGGGGACCCCCCACGGATGGTCCTAAACTATAAACGCTTCTATAGTTTAGGAGCCAACCTTTATAGTTTAGCGGCTAAACTATAAACGTTTATAGTTTAGGGGTCAAGCTTTATAGTTTAGCGCCGAAACTATAAACGTTTATAGTTTAGGCTCTAGAGTTTGGGGCTCTATAGTTTAGGGCAAAATCCAGAAATTGGAGGCAGCATTTCCGGCATCGATTTCTGTACTAAAAAATCGCATTTTGAAGCTCGGTCCAGGCCAATCCTGGGAGACCCCCCACGGATGGTCCTAAACTATAAACGTCTATAATTTGGGAGCCAACCTTTATAGTTTAGCGCCTAAACTATAAACGTCTATAGTTTAGGAGCCCCTCTTTATAGTTTAGCGCCTAAACTATAAACGTCTATAGTTTAGGAGCCACTCTTTATAGTTTAGCGCCTAAACTACAAACGTCTATAGTTTTGGAGCCCCTCTTTATAGTTTAGCGCCTAAACTATAAACGTTTACAGTTTAGGAGCCCCTCTTTATAGTTTAGCGCCTAAACTATAGACGTCTATAGTTTAGGAGCCACTCTTTATAGTTTAGTGCCTAAACTATAAACGTCTATAGTTTAGGAGCCCCTCTTTATAGTTTAGCGCCTAAACTATAAACGTTTACAGTTTCGGAGCCCCTCTTTATAGTTTAGCGCCTAAACTATAAACGTTTACAGTTTAGGAGCCCCCCTTTATAGTTTAGCGCCTAAACTATAACGTTTACAGTTTAGGAGCCCCTCTTTATAGTTTAGCGCCTAAACTATAAACGTTTACAGCTTAGGAGCCACTCTTTATAGTTTAGCGCCTAAACTATAAACGTCTATAGTTTCGGAGCCAGTCTTTATAGTTTAGCGCCTAAACTATAAACGTCTATAGTTTCGGAGCCATGCTTTATAGTTTAGCGCCTAAACTATAAACGTCTATAGTTTAAGAGCCCCTCTTTATAGTTTAGCGCCTAAACTATAAACGTCTATAGTTTCGGAGCCATTCTTTATAGTTTAGCGCCTAAACTATAAACGTCTACAGTTTAGGAGCCCCTCTTTATAGTTTAGCGCCTAAACTATAAACGTCTATAGTTTAGGAGCCACTCTTTATAGTTTAGCGCCTAAACTATAAACGTCTATAGTTTAGGAGCCCCTCTTTATAGTTTAGCGCCTAAACTATAAACGTTTACAGTTTCGGAGCCTTCTTTATAGTTTAGCGCCTAAACTATAAACGTTTACAGTTTAGGAGCCCCCCTTTATAGTTTAGCGCCTAAACTATAAACCCCTCTTTATAGTTTAGCGCCTAAACTATAAACGTTTAGGAGCCCCTCTTTATAGTTTAGCGAGCCACCCTTTATAGTTTAGCGCCTAAACTATAAACGTTTACAGTTTAGGAGCCCCTCTTTATAGTTTAGCGCCTAAACTATAAACGTCTATAGTTTAGGAGCCACTCTTTATAGTTTAGTGCCTAAACTATAAACGTCTATAGTTTAGGAGCCCCTCTTTATAGTTTAGCGCCTAAACTATAAACGTTAGTTTCGGAGCCCCTCTTTATAGTTTAGCGCCTAAACTATAAACGTCTATAGTTTAGGAGCCACTCTTTATAGTTTAGCGCCTAAACTATAAACGTCTTTAATTTAGGAGCCCCTCTTTATAGTTTAGCGCCTAAACTATAAACGTTTACAGTTTCGGAGCCCCTCTTTATAGTTTAGCGCCTAAACTATAAACGTCTATAGTTTCGGAGCCACTCTTCATAGTTTAGCGCCTAGACTATAAGCGTTTACAGTTTAGGAGCCCCTCTTTATAGTTTAGCGCCTAAACTATAAACGTTTACAGTTTAGGAGCCCCCCTTTATAGTTTAGCGCCTAAACTATAGATGTCTATAGTTTAAGAGCCACTCTTTATAGTTTAGCGCCTAAACTAGTAAGGTCCATAGGTCAGGAGCCAACCTGTATAGTTCAGCGCCTCAACTATAAACGTCTATAGTTTAGGAGCCAAGCTTGATAATTTAGCGCCTAAACTATAAACGTCTATAGTTTAGGAGCCGCTCTTATAGTTTAACGCCAACACTACAAACGTCTACAGTTTATAGGGGTCGCTTTCTATAGTTTGGCATAAACGGTACCCCCGCGGGCCTAAACTGTGAACGGTACCCCCACGCGGATTTTCGGACATTGGCTAAACTATAAACGTCGAACATTTGGGGCCACTTTCTACAGTTGGGCACCTAAACTGTAAACGGTACCCCCCACGCGGATTTTCGGACTTTGGTTAAACTATAAGCGTCTATAGTTCAGGGGCCGCTTTCTTTAGTGTGGCACCTAAACCGTGAATGGTACCCCCACACGGATTCTCGGACTTTTGCTAAACTATAAACGTTTATTGTTTTAGGGGTCACTTTCTATAGCTTGACACCTGACTGTAAACGTGCAAAACGGTACCCCCTACGCGGATTTTCGGATTTTGGCTACACTGTAAGCG